GTCCCTCCCATAGCCCACCATCCCAACCCCCCCGGCGCCTTTGCGCTCCCAGACCACGGCCCCCTCCTGGACCAACCAGCAGATCCGCGGAAATCCCACCCAGAGATCACTCCAGCGAGCGGCACGCAACAAATGCACCCGTGGAGAGACGAGCTGTGCTGTTCGACCGCGTACGACGCCCCCCTGGACCAGCCGAAGAAAAACTGAAAACTCCCGCCCAGTCAGCACCACCCGCGAAGGGTACACTCCAAATACACAGATGGGAACAATATCTTCGTGCACAGATCACACCACGATCTGTGTAAACAGTGGGCCCACACACGAAAATGCACACCTGCAGACACCAACTCCATGATCTGCGCAGGCCGAAAAGGTAGACGCTCGTCACCTCGAGGGTGCCCCGACTTTGCCAAACCAGATTCGAGGTCGACATGCCCAGCTAGGGGGGGACGCAGCTACACACCTCCCCGGTCCAGGGCACCCCCCAGGGAACTGCAAATACACGTTTCCCTGACCCACGGCGGCCACGGTGAAACGCGGCGCCAAATAGGTCCCCGACGGCCCGAAAACGTCCCAAAAAGGCCCTGAAGGACCCCAGGGAGAGCCGCACATCAATCCGAGAACACGAGAGGTGCCACACGTCATGGACCTTTTTACCATCAAAGTTCACGCGCCGTCATAGAGACCGCTGCGCTGGCAAGGGGAAGGATCTTGCCGCAGGCACCCACACATTCACATGTTAGCGATGCGACTGTGCTCGGCGGCCGCGCCGCCTGTGTTTGGAGTGCGCCCCGAACACTCGCATTGACAATCACCTCTGTTTGGTTGCGCCGCTGTTTTCGGATATCGAAAAGGCGGTATACCGTTGACACGGGCGCGCGGCACCAGGGACTTCACTTCCCTTCTTCGGATAAGGAAGGAAGACGAGGTAGGACGACGGACGGTGGAGCAGGGAGGCGAAGAGAAACGAGGAATAATGGGGGAGGCGGAAAGGGGCGCTCCCCCGCCCTAGCCACGGACGCTGTCGACACCATCCAGGGGGGGGGAAAGGAGGGGGACGGAGCAAGGGCGAGGACGACGACGGGAAGCAAACTGTCCTCGGTCCGCATATAGCCATATGCGTGCGATTCGGGTGCGCGCGCTCTCTCCGCGGCACGTCAAGCCCGACCCAGACTGAATCCACGAATTCCTCCGAACTGTGGAAACAGTCTGTCCTCTGCACCCCCTCTTTGTACAAGTGCCCCATAACAGAGGGGCAGTGGATTCCGACGTGGGCCCCGAGCTCTCGGGCCCGTCCGGACGGAGCAGGCTTTCGCCGCGGGCCGCTCTTGGAGGGCCCGTTGGGCCCAGAGCGGGCACCTGGAGGCCCAAGCGGGAAGGTCGGCCGTCGTGATCCCCCCTTGCCGTCGCAAGGACGTCCAGTACACGTACACGGCTGGGCTTCTTGCGCGTGCTTTTTTCCTCGCCAAGAGGGCCCAAAATTTAGGTCGGGCATGTCCTCCTACAGGCGGATCTTGAAGGGAGAAGAAGACACTCCCCAAAAATAAGATTCAAAAATAGAACGAGAATCCGTCCCCAGACAATGTTTGAACTATTTTTGAAGAGTCCTCCTGTAGAGGGACACGCCCGACTTAACCCACGATGCCCCAAGATGCGTCAGGCGTTCTGGCGCTGTCCTCGCGAACGCTGCCGAGCCCCCGAAGATACCAGAGGTCCAAGGACAAGAGACCCAGACCCCCGACGTCATGCCGGTTCCAAAGGGGGTTTGGGGGAGGGGGTTTTCCAGAGAGCCCACCATGGGCCTCGGAACCTCGTCAGAACAGGGGGTGCAAAGCCCCAGGGGGACCCCTCCTGGAAAACCCCCTCCCCCCAAACCTCCTTTGGAACCCTTCGGTCATGAGATCTTCATGACAACGTCCCCAATGGGGTCTCGACCCACTCCCCCGGACCGGCTTCTCGTCCGGGGTAATCTTTTAAAGCTCCCGCGGCCTGGCATGGGCCCCGGGAGGCCGAAGGTGGTGAAAAACCTCCCGTCGTGATGTTTTGCATGGCTCGAGGGGGCCTGGGAGGCCTTGGCACTCCGCGCGAGGCGCCGATCCAACAAGTCCGCGCGGGCTCTTGGCGATGCCTGTTCCTGCCATGTCTTTTCCACTTCGAGGGAAGGGGCCCCGGCCAGGAAACCCCCGATGCCCGCCTCCGCCGAGGCCGTGCCCTGGCAGCGCCACGAGGGGGGGCCACCACTCCAGAGAGCGCCACCTCCTCGAGGCAACGGTCGGCCGGGCATGTCCTCCTACAGGCGGCTTCGGGGGAGCAATAGAACACACAGAGTCCACAACTCATCCCAGGCAGCTGCAAGAGCACGACACATCGCCCCCAGGACGATGTCTTGCACTACGTGTGAGCATTCCTCCTGTAGAGGACCGTGCCCGACTTACACAGGGAAGCGGGCACGTGGAGCCCCCCAGCAGGGCGCAGGAGCCCGCACGGACGCAGAAGACACGACCCCAGCTTCCCCGATCCTCGATCCCGCCTCCTCCTCGATCCTCAATTTTTTCGGGGGGTCAAAATATTTACCTATACGACCACCCTTCGGGTGATAAGGAGGTTGTGGGGGGGGAGAGCGGGGGGGAACCAACATCTGACTCATTCGATCTCACCATCGATCTCACTCAACGGGACACCACGGGACACTTGTCGATCTCACTATCGATCTCACTATCGATCTCACTCAACGGGACACCATGGGACACCACGGGACACCTGTCGATCTCACTATCGATCTCGCTCAACGGGACACCACGGGACACCACGGGACACCTGTCGACCTCACTATCGATCTCACTCAACGGGACACCACGGGACACCACGGGACACCGCGGGACACCTCTCGATCTACTATCGGTCTCACTATCGATCTCACTATCGATCTCACTTTTTGGGAGGAGCACCACGGGACACCACGTGACACCTAGGGGCGCCACATCGATCTCAGCATCGATCTCAGTATCGATCTCACGATCGATCTCACTCAACGGGGCACCACAGGACACCACGGGACTCCACGGGACCCCTGTCGATCTCACTATCGATCTCACTCAACGGGACACCACGGGACACCACATCGATGTCACTATCGATCTCACTATCGGTCTCACTGCGAGCCACCGCCGGATGGACGGACGGGGGAGAATCATTTGTCTCGACTTCGCCCTAGCAACGGCGGACACCACGGGACACCACGGGACACCGCGGGACACCGCGAGCCACCGCCGGACGGACGGACGGGGGAGAATCATGTGTCTCGACGTCGCCCTAGCAACGGCCGGCTCATTCCTCTCGCGCGCCCGCGCAACTTCGCCTCGCCCGCGCGCACGACACGAACGAAACGAAACGATTATCCGGTTGGGGGGCTCCGTTCCACTGCGATCTCACCCCCCAACCTCCGACCATACCCGTGGCACGCTGCCGCTGGCAGCCCGTCAGCGTGCCACTCCTTCGTTGTGTCCGGAGGCCTGGCGTAGCTCTTCAGCAGCAGCGCGCTGCTGGGCTCCCACGGCGGCGTGCCACATTGCTGCTCCCGCTCCCCGAGACTTCCCGGGGAGGGGGCCGTCTCTGAGCATTTTCTCAGGGCGGAGGGCTTAGGGTGAAATCCATATGGGCTTTCGCACCTCGAGAATCACTCCGTTCTGTGGTTGGGTGGCTTGAGGGGTGAAGGTTGTGTTGTGTAGCAGCCCGTGTATCTGCATCGCCTGGCTTCTGCTAAGATATTGCTGGTGGTGCACCCCCCTTGGTACTGTCTGAGAGGCCAGGCGAGGCCAGCCCGTCGAAGGTGGGGGACCAGAAGGGAGGAGGAGGGGGAGGGGGAGGAGGAGGAGGAGGAGGAGGAGGAGGAGGGAGGAGGATGAGGAGGAGGAGGAGGGGGTGGAGGGAGGAGAGGAGGAAGAGGAGGAGGGACGAGGAGGAGGGGAGGGAGGGAGGAGGGTAGGAGAGGAGGAGGAGAGGAGGAGGAGGAGGAGGAGGAGAGGGAAAGGAGGTAGAGGAGGAGGGGGGAGGAGGAGGGATGACGGAAGGAGGAGGAGGAGGAGGAGAGGAGGAGGGATCAGGAGGAGAGGAGGAGGGAAGGCGAGGGAGGGAGAGGAGGAGGAGGAGGCGGCGGCTCAAAAGCGGCCCTCGGACGCCTGGCCACAGGATCCGGGGCGCACCAGCGTTTCCGAGCTGCGCCCCCGCTGTGGCCACGGCGGGCCGACCCCTGGAGGCCGACTGCTGCCGTGTCGCCTCGCCCTCCTTCTCCGGGAGCGGACAAGACTCCCCCGAGGAGGGCGGGTTGCCCTCCTCCTCCTCCTCCTCCTTCCTCCTCCTCCTCCTCCTCCTCCAACTCTCCTCCTCCTCCTCTCCTCCTCTCCTCCTCGTCCACCACCTCCTCCTCCTCCTCCTCCTCCTCCTCCTCCCTTCCTCCTCCTCCTCTCTCTCCTCCTCCTCCTCCTCCTCCTCCTCCCTCCCTCTCTCTTCCTCCTTCCTCCTTCTCTTCTCCTTCTCCTCCTCCTCCTCCTCCTCCTCCTCCTCCTCCTCCTCCTCCTCCTCGTCCTCCTCCTCCTCCTCCTCCCCGCTTCCAGGGGCACTTCATGTGCGCTCGGCACCGCCTTCCGAGTGGACCTTAGCGGGATTGCTAATTGACGTCCAGAACCAAACGAACGTATCCAGCGAGACGTCTACGTTCAAGAACGAAACCGACTACCGGCTGCACCCGTGCACTCGAGTGCCAATGTCGAGTGCACCCGTGCAGACTTCGCCAATCGACTTGTCTGTGTGGGGTGGGAGACCAAAAGGTACCAATACCGCTACTCCCGGGACCTCCCCTGGGGTGCGTTCTAACCGGAATTTCGAGGCGAATCCAGCGGTGGCGACGAGGGCCTCCCAGGAGGCCCAGCAAGGGGAAGACGGGCGAAGGGTAGAAACATGGGTACCTCTTTTCCTCCTGTGAGTTCTACCAGTGCCCGAGCCTCTGGCCACTGGAAGCCCCTGAGGCCCGCTTCCGCCAGGGCGGCGTCGGGCGTGGCCGGGCCGCCGAAGGCGGGGGACCGCCACGGCAGCGCCGCGCCGGGCCGCACCAGGGAGCCGACGCTGCCGAGGCTCGAGTCGCTGGCCAGCGCCGCGCAGAGGGGGGCGGGGCGGGGAGGTGTGGCCTCTGCGAATCTCCGAGTGGGACGCACGAGGACATCCTGGTAGCATCGGTCCTCCTCTGGAGGCGTGCGTCCGACCCGGACATGTGTAACTATAGTAGAATCGTCTTGTAAAACAGCATTTCCCGAACGGTGCGCCCAGAGAGCTCCCGCCTCTGAACACATGCTGGAAGATTCCTCGGCGCGCGCGTCGCCCCCTTTGGGGGGCGACGCACACCTAACCGTAGTATGTGTGGGTGGCGCCGACCGAAGGTCCGACCGAATATAGAAAATGAAACAGCCTGCATAAACCAGGGCTCGATCTAAACAGTGCTTCCCGTTCTCGTTGGGTTGTCGTTGTTCGCAATGATGTATTCGTTCCGCCATTTGCTGCAGAACGAGACAAAATTAACATGGTCCACGAAATCGCAACACCATACAATGTATCTCGAGCCCTGTCATAAGCATGCTCCGCGCGGATTTGGGGGATCTGCGCTGGCCCCCCCTGGCGCCCCTGACGCCGCCCCTGGCGGGCTCCCCGCGCCAGTGAGGGGGGTCCAGCGCCGATCCAGAAAATCCGCGCGAACCTTCGACAGTTTGTTGTGGGCTTGTCCTCCACCGCCACCACCAGAAGTTGGAGGGGGAAGGGGTCCTCCTCCCCCTCCTCCTCCTCCTCCTCCTCCTCCTCCTCCTCCTCCTCCTCCTCTCCTTGTCCTCCTCCTCCTCCTCCTCCTCCTCCTCCTCCTCCTCCTCCTCCTCCTCCTCCTCCTCCTCCTCCTCCTCCTCCTCCTCCTCTTCCTGCTCCTCCCCCTCGCCCTCCAACTTGTGGTGGTGGTTGTGAAAAGCAAGCCCCTCAATCCGAGGCGGGGATTTATACATGACCACGCCTGGAGGGTCAGTTTTCGGAGCCTCGGCAGGCGGTGGATATAGACATAGTCGGGCCCCCAGGGGCCGAAATATGTCCACATCCACCGCCCGCTGGGGCACCAGGGCGTCGGTTCCCAGGCGGTGGATATGGAGGAGGAGGAGGAGGAGGAGGAGGAGGAGGAGGAGGAGGAGGAGGAGGAGGAGCGGGAGGAGGAGGAGGAGGAGGAGGAGGAGGAGGAGGACCCCCTCCCCCTCCAACTCATGGTGGTGGCGGAGGAGGACGAGCCCCTCAGCGGCCCGCCCCCCCGCGCGCGCCGCCGGGCATGGGCTGGCGCCGCAGCAGCCCCGCCTGCGGCGGGCTCCCGCGCGGCCGGTGCAAGAAGGAGCGGGCGCCCCGCTCCCGGGCCTGGAAGTCCACGCCCTGCGCGCCGCGGGCGGCGGGCGCCGCGAGAGATGCTTAGGTCGGGCGTGTCCCCCTACAGGGGGATGTTCGACGAAAAATAAAACATACCCCCAAAATGCCCCCAGATAATCAAAAAAGCGTCCCCAGACTATTTCTGGACCATTTTTGAATATTCCCCCTGTAGAGGGACGGGCCCGACTTGAAGATATCCCTACTTCGACTGGGGGAACGACCACAGAATTGATCTACCCCAAAAGTGATTTTCGCGTCGACTCTTCCACACAAAGCACGTCGACCAGTCGTAGATCTGCGAAGGTTCTACGACTTGCCCGTGGGTTCGACGACCAAAATCAATCCTGGGGCAAATCAATTCTGTAGCCGATCTCCTACTCGAGTACTGGGACTCACAGAGACCCAGAAATCCAATGCGTTGACAAAAATCGAGACGGAGGTTTTTCGTAGTTTTCGGCCTCGAGGGGCCCTCGCCGGGCCCCCGGACCGTCAAAAAACGACTCGGGATGGAAGACCGGTCCTGGGGAATGGGTCGAGACTTCCAAGGATCCCGTCTTGAAAAAATACCGACATCGGATCTTTGGGGACATGCTAGTACTACGGTGGCGGCATTGGACAAGGAATCCTTAGACAAGGCATCCAGGGTCACCGAAGCCTGTGGAAAGCCAGTGGTTATTGATCGGCCATGGATGCCACCGCCACCCTCATCAGATAAGGAATCCTCCAAGGTCTGCAATCTTCTGGGCACATTCCTTAACGAACGCCAGCACCGTAGATGTCCTCGTTGGAGGCGCGCGTCCGACCCGAGCATATGGTATACCCACATTGTAGTATGTCGTTTCCCGAGCGGCGTGGCCAGAAAGCGCCCGCGACGACGCGTGTGCTGTAAGATTTCTCGGCGTCGGGGGGGGGGGGAGCGACGCACGCATGTTAGTAAGTTGGGGAACACATGTGGGCCTGGATTTGACCCGGATTCGCCCCCTCACAAAGGGGGACGGCAAGAGCGAAGAGGGGGTGAAGGAACAGGAGGGGCGAGGAGCAGGAGGAAGGGCCAAACGCTGCCCGAATGCGGTCCAAACGCAGGAGAAGCTGATTTCAAGGTCGCCCCCCCGAGGCTCCCACGAACAAACATCGAGCTCGCGTCATCAAAATTCACGACGGGCGGATGTCTGTGCTGTCTTCGGACTCCGGGGGGCGGCCTCGCCGGGCCCCAGGAACGTCAAAGGTGACCTCAGCGGATCACCCCAGTAGCAGCAAAGGTGAAGAGGCGGGTTCAAGAGTAGGACTAAGTCGGGCCTGTCCCCCTACAGGGGGAGTCTCGACGAAAAATTAAAAATACCCGCCAAGTAATCAAGAAATAGTCCCAAAATAGTCTGGGGACTATTGCTTTTGTATTTTTTGACCTTTTTGGTACATTGTTGGGGTATGTTTTATTCTTCGTCGAAAATCCCCCTTATAGGGGGACACGCCCGACATAAGAGCAGGAGGTCGGCGAGTGTGTAACGCGCATTCCCCTCATTTGGTAATCCCGAGAAGCGCACAGCAAGTGCGGCAGAGCCTCAGAGGCGTCCGCGGGGTGAGAGCACGGACGCGTGCACCTCCACGTCCCGTCATCAGGGCTCCCGGCCGTCGGGACCAGCAAGGAAGCGGGCAGTGGAGCGAGAGCACGACTTCTGAATAGAGCAATCCCGAGGAAGTCTCATGCGAAACGTGGTCCAAACCAAACATATGGGCTTCCCCGTCCCCCCCGTGGGACTATTCTTTCGGTCCCGTTCCAGTCTCTGCTGGAACCTTCCCAGCGGAGCGCTTTCAGACAAACGCGGCGGGGTCTTCGGACCGCTTCCGGGCTCCGGGGGCCCTTGCCAGGCCCCCAGACCGTCATACAAAACCGCTCGCGATGCCAAACCGGCCCCCGCGGGAATGCTCGGGACTTCCTGGGACCCCGGGCCGAAACAGTTCGGTCATCGCATGTCCGGGCCTCGCCCACGAACTACTGCCACGCCCAGTGGCTCGGGCGGCGCTGGCGGTGCCAGAGACCCGCGGCCTCCACCTGGCGAGGACGACGGTGCGTCAGACAGCAGAGCGCTCGAGTCGCGTCGGAGAGCGCAACCGTGACCTCTGCGCTGCCTTTGCCTGGAGCACGCTGCTCGACTGCGCGCAGCCGTGGCCGCCGTGGCCACGCTGGCGCACGCGGCCCCTCGTGCGCAAGGGGGCCAGGCCCGACGACACGCTTGGCTGGCACGACCCGGCGTCCACTGCAGCGCCCGCGGGGGCCAGATCTGCGGTGCCGCGTGCGGGCCACCAGGCGGGCCCCTGCAGTTCGGCTGTGCTGGCAGGCCGCAGCTGGTGCTCCTGGCGTGGCGGGCCCCCTGCTTCGCGCGGCTCCCCTCCTCGGGACGCGCACCCGAGACCGCCGCGGCCCCAGGCACCATGTGAGGTGGCTCGCCCTGCGCCTCACACGTGGCGCGCCTGGGTCTCGCGCTCGGTGGCGTACCCGGCTTCCCCTCGCCCGCCGCCGCAGGTCCCCTGCTGCGCTCGCCCGCCGCCGCCGCCTCCCCCCGCCGCCGCGCGCCTCCGCGCCGTGCGGCTCGCTGCCTGGGTCGCGCGCTGTCCGTCGGGGCGGTGCGTGACCCTGCTCTCCCGGACCTGCTGCGAAGACCGGATGCCTGCCACCGCGGCACGGCTCTCCTGCCGTGCCGTGCCTCGCTGCCGCCTCCCTCCCCGCCCCGCCGCCTCGCGCCCCGTCGCCAGTGCGGCTGCCGGCGCCCCCCCCTGCGCCCGCCCGTGCCCTCCCCCGCTCCGCGCCCTCCGCTTCCCGGACCCGCCGCGCGCTCTGTGGTGCAGCCCGTCTTCGGGCCTGGCACCCTCGGTCGCCGCACCGGCCCTCGCCGCTGCATGGGCCGGCCGTCGCTGGCTCTGGTGGCCCGCGCCTCGGCCGCCGCCCGCCCCGCCGCCGCCCCGCCCCCGGAGGCGCTCGCAGCCGCGCCCCTGGCCCGGCTGCTGCCCCTCGCGCCGCCCGGGACGCCCTGCCGAGCCGCCGGCTTCGCAGTGGCACGCGTGCCTGTGGCACCGCACGACTTGACGAGCAGTGGTTGGCAGCATTCTGTCTGCGGCTGTCCCTGGGCGCCTGTAGTTTCGTACCGCTTCCCCTCGCCCTGCTGCCGCGCGCCTCTGGCCGTGGCCCGCCCAGCGCGCGCTCCCAAGTCCCCTGGTCGCCGCCGCTGCGCCGCTGCTGCCGCCCCGGCCCGCTCATGGTGGAATCCTTCCGCCTCTGCGCGCCTCCTCCTCCCCTTCCGCCCGCGGCCCCTTTGCCCTCCTTCCGCTCTTGCACGCCGGACGATTGGCTTGGCAGAGCCCCTGGTTCGCGCTTTCGCTGGTGCGGATTGCCGCCGCCTCGCCGCCGACGAACAATTATAGCCGGAGTGCAGTATCCCCAAACCGGGTTTTTAAACCCACTGCGGTTTCCAAGGTCGATTGCGTGCCGGTCCAGTGCGGGCTGGCATAGCATGTTAGAACATGATAACATGATGTTTGCACATGAGATCCGCGGGCGCACGTCTCAGAAGAAACATCGTGACGTTGGATGTCTGGGGAGGGCGGAAGGCAGGGCGCGCATGACAGATGCTGAGGCGGCAGAAACGACGACGGTGGGGACGGGGAGGCGGAGGCAGAGGCGCAGCAGCGGGAGGCGGGAGGAGGGAGGAGGGAAGAGGAGCCAGGCGGGAAGCGGGAAGAGGGAGGCGGGATAAGGAATGAGAGAGGTTGTGATTGGAGCCTCTGTGCTACGACACGTCTCAGGCAGAACGGGCCAGACCATCTCGCGCGCAACATTTTCGAGCTTCGCATTGTGAGGATGGCTCAAGCGAAACGGGCCCGACCACCTCCTTTAGGGTTAGGTCCTCTCCTGCAACTCCCTTCCTTCTCCCTCCTCCTCCTCCTCCTCGTCCTCCTCCTCCTCGTCCTCCCCCTCCTCCTGCCTGCTCCCTCATCCACATCATCCTCCTCCTTCTCCCTTCCATCTCCTCCTCCTCCTCCTCCTCCTCCTCCTCCTCCTCCTCCACCTCCTCTTCATCCCGAACGGCATCTCGGAGCCCAGAGTTGCGAGGATGTTTTCCAGGGTAACGGGCTTGGACCACCTTGCGCGCAACATCTCGCACCCCAGAGCTGCGACGATGTCTCGGGCGAAACGTGCTGCGAGGAAGTCTCAGGCTAAACGGGCCAGACCACCTCGAGCGCGGCGTCTCAGAGCTCTGAATTGCGGGGGCATCCTGGGGCCTCCTGGGGCCTTCTGGGGTTCTCCTGGGGCTTCCTCCTGGGCCTCCTGTGGCCTCCTGGACCCCACCTGGGGCTTCCTGAAGTCTCTTGGTGCTCCCAGGCGGGGACATCTAACATGTGGCCGTCTGGGCCCCCCGAATGGGGGGGCCACAAGAGCAGGACAAATTAACGAATCGACGCCACATGTGTATTAACTTGACACGTTCTGATAGGGGGCCTCCTGGGGCCTCCTGGGAGCCTCCTGGGAATCTCCTGGGTACCCCTGGGGCCTGTCCTGGGCGTCCTGCGGCCTCCTGAAGCTCTCTGGGGCCTCCTGGGGCTCCCAGGGTCCCAGGGGGGATATGTGACATGTGGTCTTCTGGGCCCCCAGGCTGGACCACCTCTTGCGCGGCATCTGGGAGCTCAGAGATGCGAGAATGTCTTGTGCGAAACGGGCCAGACCACCTTGCGCACGGCATCTCAGAGCTCAGAATGGCGAGGATGTCTCAGGCGAGAAGGGCCGGACCACCTCGCGCAGGGCATCTCAGAGCTCAGAAATGCGAGGATGTCTCAGGCCAAACAGGCTGGACCACGTCGCGCGCGGCATCTGGGAGCTCAGAGTTGCGAGAATGTCTTGTGCGAAACGGGCCGGACCACCTCGCGCGCGGCATCTCAGAGCTCAGAGTTTCGAGGACGTCTCAAACGAAACGGGCCGGACCACCTCTTGGGCGGCATCTCTGGGCTCAAAGCTTGGAGGATGTGTCAAGCGAAACGGGCCGGCCCAATCCCGGACAACTCAGAAACGAGAGTTGCGAGGATGTCTCAGGCGAAACGGCCCGGACCACCAAATTTGTTTGAGGACGTCTCTGCATTGATTTCCCTTGGCCGGAGTTAGCTTCTATCACAACAGCACCCCGTTGAGCAAGCTGTTTGGGAAAAAATGTCTGGTCCTCGTGGTCTGGGGCCGATCCCGCTGATATGTGATCCCACGGATGCGTCTGGCGCGGGGCAGCCGAGGAAAAGCACGCCCACCGTGTGGGACCGCGGCTGGGGAGTCTGGACACCGTGAGCCCCGTGCGCAGAGATCCGATGCCTTGGTTGTTTCGCTACGGGGCCCCTGGAAATCGCGACCCACTCCACAAACTTTTTTGCAGTACGACTCAACGGCTACGATATGTCAGAGGTTCGGCGCCTCACGCGCTAGGACGTGAGGCCGTGGCTACGCCTTTCCAGGCGCCTTCCCAAGCGCCTGGGACCGGTATTTCATCCCGAGTCGTTCCTGACGTCCGTCGAGGAGCCCCCCGAAGCTGCGGCTTGGCAAAAAAACCTCCGCGCTGCGCGTTTTCCAGTGCGTCGGATCTCGGGGAGGATGTGGCTCCGCCTCGGCGGCCAGTCGGAGGCGCAAAGGCCGGACGCCCACAGCCACTCTGGTTGCCTCCAGGTCTGCGGGCGAAGTGGGGGCCTCCTGGAGGTTTCCCCTGGGGGGGGGGTCCGAGAGAACCCGCGGAGCCGCCTCGCGGCCGCATGGAGCCGCGCTGGAGGCCATCTGGGGGCCATCTCGAAGTCGGGCCTGTCCCCCTACAGGGGGATCTTGGACGAGAGGTCGAAAGATGCCCTCCCAAAATGCCCAAAGAGGATCCCAAAAAGGTCCCCAAACTATGTTTTTTGCCTATGTTTGAACAGATTCCTCCCGTAGAGGGACAGGCCCGACTTACGGCTGTCCTTGGCGGCGCGCGCAACGGGGTGGAGGGAGGGAGGAGGGCTTCTTAGAAGGAGGCTGCTTCTGAGAAGGCGCTGGCCTCGCACCTATAGAAAACGCCCGCGCCTTCTAAGAAGCAGGGGTGTTTCTGAGAAGCCCCCCCCCCCCTCCCCCCACCCCCCTCTGCGCGTGGCTGATGCCGCCAGCCCCCCAGGCCTGCATCGCGAGGCCCACGCGGGTGAGCAGCTTGCGGTGCGGCCGCTCGGGCGGCGGCGGCAGGGGGCCCACCACGCCCTGGTCGGCCCCGCCCACCTCGCCATCGCTCGGACGTCCACTTCCCGTGCATTTTTCGGTTTCGTGCGTGTTTTTGTTGCTCGATGGTCCAGGATCGTCCTCCATGGTTCTCGCCGAAAGAAAATACACACGTCCGAACGATGCCAGGCCACCGAGAGCAGGTCCACGGTGACGGCGGTGCAGCCGTCGCCGCCCGCCGTGCGCACGCGGCTCTGGTCGAGGTCCACGAAGATCGTGTGGGGCTCGCAGACCGCCTCTGGAAGGCCCGGACATCCGGCGTCCCGAAACCGCAAATAGGGGGGCACGTATACGAACCCTGCCCCTGCCCCCACCCTCCCCTCTCAGAAGTCGTGGGGGGCAAGGGTAGGGTTCGCATGTGGTCCCCTAGCAAAGACACGGGGTGAGTCGTCGTTGTCGACCTCTCGGGGCCCCGACAGGGCCCCGGGAACATCACGAGTGGCCTGCCGGAGGGCCCGAACGCATGCAGTTGCGAGCAACGCAATGGTGAGCATCGTCTTCGGTGGGGTTCCCCGATGCGGCCACAAAACGTGTGAGGTGAGGGGTGTGCCGAGATTCGTGCGGCGGGCGCATGCAAACGCAGCCACTGCGGCCTTCGGTGGAGTTCCCCATGGGGCCACGAAGCGTGTGATAGGTCTGCCGAACTTGGCGCGGCGGGCGCATGCGAACGCAGCAACCAGAGCCCTCGGTGGAGCTCCCTATGTGGCCACGAAGCGTATGAGGAGTGTGTGTGCTGGAATTCGCGCAGCGAGCGCATGCGAACGCATCCACTGCAGTGCGGCTTCGGCTTCAGCTCCCCATGGGGCCACGAAGCGTGTGAGAGGTGTACCGAAGAGGGTGCGGGGACGCATGTGAAAGCTCCGTAGGGGGCCACGTGCCGACATGGTAGACTGATGCGGAGAACAAAGGCGCGCAGGGGAGGAGGAAAGAGCGGAAGGAGCAGAAGGAGGGGGAGGGGGATTGTATTGCACGCCCATAGGGGGGAAGAAGAGAGAGAGGGTCCGACGGGTCCAAAAAAAACCAAGGGGGCCCATCGGAGAGGACCTTTTTGTCACCACGGTGCGGCTCGGACAGGCAGCGCACCGTGGGCCAGCGACAGGGCCCCCTTAGGTAAAATCATCGTCGAGCTTGACCTCAGCAGGTCGGACACGCAAGAGACAGTCAGCCATGCAGAGAGAGGCGGCTCCCGAAAACTGCTGGGCCCTCGAAGCCCTGCTCGTCGGCTGGGACCCCCAACCTCCGACCAGGAAACGAGAACCGAAAAGCTCACGAGCCAGGGCCCCAGGAGATCTCGGGGGTCCCAGCCGCCGCGCCCGATTCGGGTGCTTGAACTTTACAAAACTCGACGTGTTCTTTTTGCCATGGCCGACCAGCGAGTGAGCCGAGCCCTGGCATCCAGCGTGCAAGCCCCTGGAACCTGTGGCCACAGTTGCATAGCTGCCACAGGTGGAGCAAAAGAGGAGGGGGGGGTGGTCCTCTCCCTCCTCCGTTGGCTCCACAGGAAACTCAAGCAGGCAGTGGCCCCCCTCCTTCCACGGCTGCGTGCCTTCGGGCGCCCTGTCCAGGAATCTCTCCAGCGAGGCGGCAGCCGCAGGGTCGGGGGCCGTCGGGACCTCACCGCAAGGGGGGGGGCGCAGCTGCCTCGTCCTCGGCCCGAGCCCACTCGAGCCGAGCGTCGTGATCCGAGGGGGGATCCAGGGAGACCAAAGACAGGCCCTGGGCACCTACATTGTCGTAGACCCCGAGCTCACTGTAGTAGACTTCCGCACGCGTTATAAACTGCAACACCTCTCGGGCCAGAAAAAGGCAGCCCTTAGCTAAGAGGGTGTCCCGTTCATCATGCTGGGCAAGCGAGGCCCCCAGCTTGGCCAGTCTATCAGCACCATGGTTGCCAGTGCGTTCGAAATCGGACAAAAGGCCGTCTCTGACATCCTGAGCCGAGGCGTGAGCAGGGACCTTCTTAAACCTGGCCCCCTCAAGGCCTCCCGAAGCCCAAGACTGAGACCAAAGGTGGGCCCTGGGGTTAGCCGGGGAGACCGAGCGCGCTCTGTTTGTGCAACAGTCAAGCGTGCCCTTGCAATCAGAGTACAGAGTGAAATCGCTTGCGCGCAGCTTTGGGACGATGAAAACACTATAGTCCTCGCCGTCGCGCGCCACCTGATCGGGCAAGGTGGCTGGGGGCGCAGAACCATACCACTCCGCTGTGCACCTGCGTGACTCATCGAAGACGGTAACTCCCCATCCTGCAACGCGCAAGGACGGGAACAGTCCGTCTCGGCCTGAACCATCACAGAAAACAGGTCCCTCGGAAAGCATGAGCGGCCCTGCCAGGCCGCCCTCAACGCGAAACTCCGTGGACGGGCCCCAGGGTTTCCTGGCCAGAAGCTGGCGCGGGTCAGGAAAGATACCTCGGGAAAAACGCTCTTGCAGCTCGACACTGCAGGTTGACACTCTGCTGGCTGCACGCTGCACGCGCACGGGAAGGTTGTCGCGGCGCCAGGCCGTCCTGGCCTGGCACTGAACATGGCGATGAAACAAGGTGCCTCGCTCTCCACAAATCAGGCATTCTGACGCCAGCTCAGGATCATGCACACTGAGTCTGTGATGGCACCAGTGAGAACCCATAAGGAGTCCTCTGAGCGTACGCTGCTCTCTGACCCCCCACGAACCACCCGTCCCAACCGCCACGACCTCCCCGTCAATTCTTCTATGCAGCAGCTCATTCAGCGGTCGCCAAAAAAGTTCTGCGCGCCAGGCCTTGCCTGGTCCTATTTTGCCCAAGGCCGCAATGTCCGAAAACCTTCGCGCCGAAAAGCGCGCTCGCCTGGCCATGAAAGCGGACGAGACCTGAGTCAGGTCCCACACCTGCCCCTGGGCCTCCTGCACCAAGGATGGCCCCTGGAAGACAAACCCGATCCTCAGGCAGGTTAAGACCAGTTCGGACACGGGGTCCCTGACCAGGGTCCAGGGTTTCGGCCTCTGGGCGACCTCCTGGGCTTTCGCAGGCAAAACTGAAAGGACACGCTCAGACAGCCTGCCATCCTTTAGAATCTGAACATACGTCTTGATCGCGTCAGCAGAGACTTGCACCAAAGGATCTCGCGACCACCCCCCACGCGTACACATCGAAGCCAATCCGAGCGAGCATCCGTTGGGCAGCCTCCCCTCGGCTTTGACAGCCGCAACACTTAAACTCTGGAGCTTTCCATCAGGCAGCCCCTGGATGTTGGCCCCCCAGAGAGCCTCGGCGGCAACCCCAGCCCGAAAAAATCCCCCCGTCGGGGCACCAGCCTCGCGGAGGCTGAGGACCCTGGCCACCTTGGCCTGGGCCTCTAGGAAACGGGTCTGGTGGGTCGACACTCGCCGCCTTGCCCCGTCCGTCGCGTCCCCTCCAAGGTCGCGGTGGACAGATGCCCTGGCCTCTGCAGGGAGCTGGCAGCGCGATGCAAGCTGGTTGGCCAGGGAGGCTGACGACGCCAGGAGCCCAAGCTTGTCCCAGGCAATCGGGAGGCCCCTAGCCTGGAAATCTTGGGTGACCAGGTTGAAAGCCGACGAAAGCTCAGTGCACACCGTGGCCTGGCCTCCGATGGACTGAAACGAAACATCATCAATGGCACTTTTCAGGGTGACCGTTGGGCACGTCGAAACCACTCTGCGCAAAACCGACACGAGCAACAGGCGAGCGAGCGAGGTGGCCCCCGAACAGCCAGCAATGACGGAGCCATTCGGCGAGACGATCCTGGAGATCGCCCCCTGCCAAGATACCCGCCTCAGGGAACGGTACACCGTGCAAAAAGCCCTCGAGAGGGCCTTCGGAAAGGCCACCTGCTCAGCTGCCGCTAGCAGCTCGGCGTGGCTGATGTGCTCGTAGAATTTGCGAAGGTCAAGAAACAACGTACCCGAAACTAAACCTCTAATTTCCCGAGCAAAAGCGGCCATGGCATTGTGTACCCAAGCGCTCTTGTCACAAGCAGTGGACGTGGTCATCCCCCAGAAAAAGGGGGCATCCAGCTCCCTTTCCCGCCCCGCGCATCTGGCATGCCGAATCCTGCTCCACACTCGGGCCCAGAGGGGGAGGAGGCCAATCGGCCTGACCCCCCCCCCGACGGCTCCGGAAGAAACGCGATCACGACGAGCCGCAACGGGCCCACCGAAGGGCCCCGTTCCCAGGCCGCGAGGATATCGGCGAAGGCCTTGACGAGCGCGGGGGAGACCTGCAGGAGGAGCTGGGGGCGAAAAGAATCCCACCCCAGGCCCGTGCCTGGGGGAAACGACTTGGCTGCCGCCAGGACCTCCTCCGAAGTAATCGGCGGCAAGCTATCTTCGCACCTCCAGTCCCAAGGCGGAGGCTCGCCAGCTCGATTATCTTTGCACCAGATCGGCAACCACACTTGAAGGGCCCGCTGCAGTGCTGCATCCCCTACTAGGGGGACGCAATCCCCTTCCTGCTCTTCAGCAAACACGGGCTGGGGAGGCGCCGAGGGGCCCTTCGAATACCTGTGAGCAACCCGCCCCCCTCCAACGACAGACGACTGCGCCCGCGACTTCCATTTCTGGCGCCCCTCAGCCGCCTCTTGGGACACGCGCTTAGAAACTTCGGCCTGCAGCCAATTCACAACATCAGCCTTTTGATCACAGGCTAGCAGGCTTCTAAACAGAGAGTCTAGAGTGAACCCTCTGAGCTGCTCTACCTCGGCACTTTGCAGCAGGTGGCCAAAGGCGCCAGCTTTGGCCAGCAGGCGCTCACGGTCCTTCTCCCTACGCATGTAGAGCATCGCCAGCCTCCTGACAGCGAGCCAGTTCTGCGCGTGGACCGAGCAGCGCTGGTTGAGGTCCTGCCCCCAGGCCGCCTGCAGGGGGACCTTCTGGATCTGGCAGCTCGACGATCTGCCTGCGAATCCCTTTGCTTGTCCAAGACCATGCAGCTTGACCAGCTCCGCCTCGGCCGCATCGAACCACTGGGCAGCGGCCTCCATGGGCCTGTCCAAGTTGAAGCCGTATGTCTGGCCTCCCTCAGGCATGACGAAGATCCGCTTCTCCTCGTCCGTCCGCGCCAAGGGAAAGGCCTTCGGGGCAATCCGCTGCCACACCTTCGCTGCCCCAGCAAGGTCCTTCAGGCGGAGGTGCACCGACGAGTGGGGTCCTGTGGGCGTGTCGGGCCACTCTCGAACCTCATCGACATGGTACTCCAGGCATCTGCTGATCACAAAGAAATCGTAGCATTTGTCGTGGCATG